AAGCAGCTAGGATTGAATGAATCTTGCACTTTTTGGGTGTACCATGGACAAACTACAAGAAAGCAGCTAGATTAACTCGATGAAAATTCACATATTTGAGGTTGCAGAGACTTAAATCCTAAAAAATCTGAAGGTATCCCACCCCAGAAATCTATACTTTCACATACGTGCACAAAATGTATCATTTGGTATGGTTTCGCCACAAGACTAGGCATATGGCCTCTTCCTTTTTACTTCTAACTGCACCCACCAACCAGACACCTGCCCAAGATGTGATCTTAATGGAAATTAGATTATGGGTCTTTTCCATCTGACAGTAAATCCTATAAAGTAACACACTTCACTTCCTGATGTTTTTTGGCACCTGTTGATTGACACACATACATGTAGTTCCAGATTCTGATTAGTAACGACTACTGTAACTTAAGCCAGTAATCCCTGTCGTGCAAAGGAGAAAGCTAGCAAGCCCTTTAAATTGAGCATGAAGAAAGTCCCTAGGAACATGATCCGCTGTATTCAAAAGTTTAAAATTGCAAACACAATACACGTCAATCTAAACTACTTTCAGAAGTAAAAATGTTGGTACACACATGATGCAGAATTTAAGGCTTTGGCATTTTCCATCCAGGTGTCAGGTATGAATGAGATTTCAAGCTCACAGCTGCTTACAACAAGTACAGAGTACATGTACAGACCAGCATATCGCTTCCAATAAGCTTCCATTAGCAGGCAACAGTTCCAGTAAAATGTCTGATAAACCTCCCAATGTCAGAGAAAAAACTGATTTTAATCCTGAATATTGCTTTTAATTTTCAATGGCATTTTAAGAAATGAAAAAGGGGAGGAAGGAAAAAGAAAAATTAAGTACATAGAGCCTAGACGGTTCAACCAAAATAACAAAAAGTACAATGAGAATCAATACCATTTTATCAACCTAACCAAATTGATGAAGAGCAATACAAGCCCACAACAGACAAAAAAACTTGAAAACCACGCTAAAATTACACCTGTTCCAATTTAGGAAAGTTGGAAGTTGGACATCCAGAGCCCCATGGATGCAAAATGGTCACTGGCGTCCAAGCCCAGGGATACAACCCACATATAAGGCCTTTTCCCACTAGACTAAATCTCGGGGGGGGGGGGGCCAGGGGGAAGGGGGGAAAATAAGCCAGTTTTCCCCTTTTAAAATTCCCAACCCC